CTTGTTTCCTGATTACTACAACGACGACAACCGCCCCCCTCCCACTGACAGCCATGAGTTATGCGTCAGCAGTCGAGAATGGCAAGGCCATAGACACCGCGCCGACGGCCCCTAACGCACCGCCAGCATCCTCATGTAAACCAGTATTCTTTCTGGAGAAGGATGTTCATGCCGTTAGTCCTTCCGAGACTTTCTTCACGAACGTCGAGGTCTACAAAGCTGTTGCGCGCCGTGTTCAAGCGTCAAACATAGCCGGAATACAACAGGTTCGCGGCCTGTGGCGTCTCTACCTACGCGATCCAGAGGAACGTGCTTCTCTCATCGCGTCAGGGATCAGCCTCCGCGACAGGTATGTTGAAATCAGTGACAATCACCCTTTTCAACAGCGAAACGGAGTTAGAATCACAGTTCGAGATGTGCCCCTTTCCGTAGACGATGGAGTTCTAGCGTCTGGCCTGAAAAGCTACGGGGCTAAACTTCTCGGGCCTTTGAAACGTGAAATGCTTCGAGTCGACGGTATGCTGACCAACTGTGAAACCGGCGACCGATTCGCCTTCATGGCTATTCCGACAAACCCTACTGAGCACATTCCGAGATTTGTCGAGCTTGGAGGGCGATGGAGGGCAAGAGTGTTCTACCGAGACCAACCTAAGGACCAGACGCGACCGCGACATGTCCCTAATGACAGTGCTCGCGTGGCTTCTACCCTTGCTCCACGTCCCCCTACCGACACCACTGCTGGGAATGAAGAATCCAGTAATGAACAGCAGAGTCGGGTCAGCACAGCTTTTGTTCAGCTTGCCCCCAGCTCACCTGAAGAGGAAGATCACAGAGACAGGCCTGAGCAATCTCAGGTTAACAGGGGAAAACAGAGCCAAATCACAGACTATGTTGCACCAGCAACTCGTACTAGGAACAGGGGAAGACCCCGGCCCAGTCCCAGACAACGAACAAGACTACCGCACCAACCGTGGCAACGAGAAGTACCACAAAGAAGAACCAGTCCTCCACTACAACTAGCAGCATAAACACAGACGACCAAGCAGCGATCATGAGACAACGCATCGACGACCTCGTCGAGACAAGTCGTAATGCTGCCAGTGGAACTCACATCGATACTCCTGGCAACTTCCGCAGAGTCAGCCCCGAAGACGGAGGCCTGAACTGTTAGACATGACATTACTTGGGACTCATGCTACCTGTAAGTCACACTCACTCCCATGACCTCTGAACTTAGTTTACTTTCCCTAAATGTACGCGGCTTACGCAACAAATGTAAACGAGACATCGTTTACCTTTGGCTAAGTCAACAGAAAGCGGACATCTTCCTCCTTCAAGAGACATACTTTACTACTGATATTCTTAGTGATCTTGAATTAGACTGGAATGGCTTACAATTCCACGACTTTGGTAGCACCCATAGTCGAGGGGTCTCAATACTCTTTAGAAAAGGACTGGATGTTGATGTAGCTGATGTCTTAAAAGGTAATGATGGAAGAAAACTGATTGTTATATTGCATGATCTCTGTATCCTCAATGTTTATGCCCCCAATGATCGCACTGAGAGAGGGAAATTCTTTAGCGATCTCTGTGATTGGGTAAATGATAACCAGATCACTAACCTGTTAGCAGGTGGAGATTTCAATGATTTAAATGATTGTGAGTTAGATAGGCAATCAAAACACACATTGAAAACACCCACAGGTGGGAATTCATTGAATAATTTAAAGCAAAACTTACTCCTGGTTGACATCTGGCGGAAATTCCATCCCAAGAGGAAACAATTTACTTGGAGAAGGAAGAATCCAGGACCAGTGGCCTCCAGAATTGACTTCTGGCTTATTCAAAAATCTCTTGTCGAACACGTTTTACAGTGTACCATAAAGCCTTCCATGAAATCTGATCATAAGGCCATCTTTATAAAACTGCAACTAAACGAACAAAAGCGTGGGCCAGGACTCTGGCGACTAAATACATTATACCTTTCCGATCAAGATTACATGGACGGTGTTGAAAATTCTATTTTAGAGGTTACTCTGGAACACAAAAACTCTAATATTTCTAAACAGCTCCTATGGAACTTATCAAGAAACGAATCAAGGAATTCTCCATT